GTCGCCTTCCTGCACAGGGCGTTGGGCTTTCACCGGCAGCCTCACGTCCTCCCAGCCCCTCGTGCCAGACCAAGGCCACATAGCGCTTTGCTCTAACTGCCCGTGACAGGCTCCATACGGCGCAAACACCAATCCCTTCTTCACCCCCCCACTATGCACAGCGCCCGTGGGCTCCGCACATCCTGCCGCCCCTCCCGCGTGAACGCCAGGCTGCCGGCGAGGCAGGGCAGGGGCTCCGCTCTCTTCCTCCTCCCCGGCCAGCCAGACGAGGTTTCCCTTTGGGCCGACTGGAGGGCCCTGGGGGCTTCAGTGAATCAGCGAGGCCCGAGATGGAGGACCTGAGACAGACGCGGGCCCGCTGAGCCCCCCAGGACAGAGCTGAGACTGCAATGACCTGGGGCCATCGCCTTTGAGAACAGACAGCTGCCAAGGCAGCCGTGGGGAGCAGCCACCCGGATTAACCTCACGGCGTGGTTCCACTTGCCCCGCAGAACGAGCACGTGAGCCTGGTCCTGAGCCCTTCCCGCGGGGCATCCTCTGCCCTCTGGAACTCACCCGCAGCGCCGGCATCTGGTGAGCAGTGCCCCCGAGCTCAGCCGCCCTCTGGCTCACGCTGCCTCCCCTCCTCCGTCCTGGACATTTCATTGGTGGGGCCCCAGCTCGCCTGGCTGCCACCCCCCACTGCCTGGAGCCCCTGCGGGTTACTAAAGAGCCCCCCCTCTCTACACAGGACATGGATCCGGACAATAAGGGGGGCAGGGAGCTGGGGGGCAGGGCTCCTTTGTGTATAGGGATTGCAAAGAGACTGCAGCTGGCCCGCTGGTCCCTGCTGCCCTGGGCTGACCCTCTGGGAAGCTCTCTCAGCTCCAGGGCCGAGCAGCTGGCCCCGGCCAGCAGAGCCCCCCCCGGGACTTGGCTTGGGCAAGGCCCTCGCTGCCCTGGCACTTCGCCTGCCTCCCGTCTCCTCCTCGCTGGAAGGGAGGGTCCCAGCGCGCTTCCCGGCCTGCTCCCAGGGTTCCCTGTTCCTCAGCGGTACTGAGGGAGAATGCGTTGGGCACGGACACCCCCCCTGCAGAGACCTGTTCCGGTTCAGGAGCTCCTGGATATCACCCCCGTGTCCCCCAGGCTTGTGACAGAAAACCCCAGCTTCCCCGAGGTCCCCTGGCCTCCCGCCGAGCAGTGTCCTCCCCGGAACCAGTGCTGGCTACACACTGACTTCCAGAGGCAGGGGCCCCGGCCCCCCC